ACTATAAAATTAATTTATCTATAAATTCATATATTTAAATTCATAGATATATTTAATATTTCATTAGTAAAATTTAATATTGGGATATTTTGTAATTTATCTATAAATTCATATATTTAAATTCATAGATATATTTAATATTTCATTAGTAAAATTTAATATTGGGATATTTTGTAAATAAGAAGAAAAATAAATATTCTTCTTTTATTGCTTTTTTTTATTTGTTTTAACTTTAAATTCAGATCGAAAACGGTCCGGATATACTTTCGAGGTCACGACAATATGGCAACAAATATTTCAGAATTTACATCTGAGTGCTTTTTATATGGACCGGTATCGGTCCGTTTGTAGTTTCGAGGTCACGACAATATAGCAACAAATATTTCAGGATTTACATATGAGTCCCTCTTATACGAACCGGTATCGGTCTGTATATAGTTTCGAGGTTACGACAATATGGCAACAAATATTTCAGGATTTACATCTGAGTCCTTTTATACAAACCGGTATCGGTCCGCATAGACTTTCGAGGTCACGACAATATGGCAACAAATATTTCAAGATTTACATCTAAGTCCAATATATTCAGACTGTAATCGGTCTGAATATAGTTCTCATTGCCAAGCAAATTTTTCACTGTTATAATAGGTTTGTATGTATTTAGATCGACATCGATTTGAATATATTTTCTGTAATTCTTAAATTATTTATTATATTCTTAATATTCAGACAGTTAATGGTCCGTAAATTTTAAATTTATACTTGCCCCTTGAATTTTTTTACCAAATTATACGGTCCAGTTTTGGTGTGAATAGTTTAATTTACGGACAGATTTTTTGTCTTTCTATATATTTTATTTTTTCATACCAGATTTTTTTGGTTTAACTATATGGATCGATATCGGTCTGGATATGTTTTTTTAGACCGAATTTTTGGTCTAAATATTTATTATCTGCAGTAGTGTATATGGTTGGTTTTCAAATCTTTAATTTAGAGAGAAAATTAAAATATAAACAGTTAGTAAGAGATAGAAGGGGTATATTTTTACTTGCACTTCTATTTCCACATTTTCAAGCTGCTCTAGACGGGGTACAATGACCAAAGAGTTTGCCTTTGAGACAACCTATTTTTCTTGACTCAAGCATGGTTGTTTAAAACTTTTTTTCTTCTTCTAAAATTTGAGGTTTTTTTAGAAAGAAATATATGTTATTGTACTTTTATCCAAAATAAAGCTTTCAAGTTAGGTCAGTTTTGGGTTGCTAGAGATGGAACTCACGTCAGGGGAATAGACAACTTGGCACCGGCAAAGCCTTTGATTTAGATTTTGCGTTGTTTTTAGTTTTTCAATGTTCTTATTTTCTATGGATTTTGTCATTTTTATTTTTTGGGTTTAGACTTTTAGAGATATATTTAATTTTTTTTAATAAAGTAATTACAATACAACTATCGATTTAAGAGATAAGGAATTAATACTAATGGCCGAGCTTGAAGTTTGGACCAAATTACCATAACACTAGGCCTTTACCACTAGACCACAAACGCGACTGGCAGAGAAATATTTAGCTTGAATTTTCAAGAAAGAGTGGATCTGTTATTAAAGGAGGAGAGAAGATGGATGGAAAAGAGGAAAAGGAGGACTGTTCGGTACGTAAATTTTGAAGTTTAAATCAGCCACATCACAAAAAAAATGAAGAAAAACTTGCCATGTCATCTCTAGATCAACTAAGAGGGGGCGCCACATCATCTTTAGTTAACGAAGCAAAAAGAGAGTAAAACGGAAAGATAGCTTTTTTATGTGATCCTTAACAGAAGGGTTGATTTGCGAGGTTTGATTACTAGATGGGTTGATTTTCACTACTTCTTAGTAAGGGGGCTAATCTGCCACAACACTTATAGTAGAGGGGCTGAATTGCACTTTTTGCCTAGCGTGACTTCTCAAACTTATCCAAAATGCTTGGGGTAGAGCTCACTTCGCTAGATGCCCACGCACTCCACGGTCATTGTTTAACTTCTCAAGGGAAAATATAAGAAGGTCCATTAATTTGTACACGGAATTCCCTTTTCACTAAATTATAGCTCAAAATACACAGTGAAGTTTCCTTTACCACCCTTAATTAAAAAAAAAAAAAAAAGAGAAAATTTTAAAGGAACATCAAAAACTACCCTCAATATTGAAACTCAAAGAATTACAATTTAATTTATGCATGGCTTCAAAATCAAATTTTACCATGGCCAAGGATGAAGCTAAGAATTTATGTTAAGGAGGTAAAATTTTAAAACTTTTTATGAGTTATTTATCAGTTTATATGGTATAATTTATATCAACTTTTATATCAATCATTAATTTTATACATGTATCACCTATAATATTAATGTCAAATTTTAAATTAATTAGATATATTTAACTATTTTTATATAGTATATAATTTAAAATTTTTTATGAGTTATTTATCAGTTTATATGCTACAATCTATATCAATTCTTATGTCAATAATTAATTTTATACATGTATCACCTATAATATTCATGTCAAATTTTAAATTAATTAGATATATTTAACTATTTTTATATAGTATATGATTTAAAATTATTAAATAAATAGTATAAAAATATAGTTTATTTTCTTTATAAAGTTACATATATCAAATTAATTTTAACTTTGAAACATATTTACATAAATAAAATAGATTCAACCATTAGTCTAATAGAATATTATGTTGGCTCAATGCACTCCAAGAGGGAGGTGAATTAGAGTTTCAAAATTTCCTTTCTCTTTGCAATCACAAAGCAAAAAATCAAAGATAATAAAGAAGAGGGACTTGCATAAAAATTTTATAGAGATTTGGTCCAACCACTTGAGACTTTGTCTTCTACCTTAGCTTTACTCACCAAAGATTTCCTTCACATTCTCCACTAACAAGAACAAGGATGGCTTAAAGGAGCCACTCAATCCCTTTACAAGAAGATGGGTTTTCTCACAAATCGCACCCCTTTACAAGACAAACCTAACAATTCTCACTACAAATCACTTTTGAAAGAATAATCACATCTCCAAGATAACTCTCAAAGTGAACAAATAGAGGATTACAAGTGAAGATCACTCATTGATGAAAATCTCAAGTTAAAGAACAAGAATCACAAATTTGTAAATGAAAGATATACAATGAAAGTGTCTAAAACTTGTTTTTAAACTTCTACCAATTATATTTATACCCCATTGGTTGAAAACAACGTTTCTAGTCGTTTGAGTTCATTTAATGTCCTGTAGATCAGTTTAAATTTGAGAAAACATGTTGTAGACTTTTCCAAAAGAGCCGGCTATACCTTTAGAGCTAGCTATTCTACTCCATCTACACATTTTGGTTTTCCATAGAGCTTACTACAAAACCCAAAATCAACTAGGAAATTTTAGTTCACAACGTTAAAATATCTTTGAAAAATTTGATGATTAAATATTAAATGTGCCATCATACTTAGCTATAGAGTCATAGTCAGCTTTGCATCCATTTTCCAAGCGTGCCAAATTGTAGGTTCGAACTTTTCACTTGTAAAGTTGGCTACAACTTTCATAGCTAGGTTTTTGCATTTTTCTTTAGTAAAGCCAACTGTAGAATTGTAGAGCCGACTCTTTGCACTTCATTACATTTTTTGCATTTCTCCAAAAGCCAGCTGCATAAAATCATAGCTAGCTCTTTGCACTAATTTTAGCATTTTGATTCTTTTTTAGTGTAGTCCAAGTTCATTCACTCTTGTTAGCTTTTAGGTCATAAACTACACCTTAAATAAATAATATTAGTAATCCAAGTGTATTTTGTAATCATTAAAATCATAGGTGCAACATATTAATTGTATAAAAAAATTATATATAACCAATATA